CACAGGGGCTTGCGTTAATGCTTGTTTTAATTTTTCGAAAGCACTATTGGCTTCGGCCGTCCACGAGAATCTTGCCTTTTTCCTTTTTAATTTTAACAATGGTTCAGCAATAGCTGCAAAATCTTTTATAAAGGACCTATAATATGAACAAAGTCCTAGAAAAGAAGAGAGCTTCTTTGCCGTGTTTGGAGTCGGATACTTTTGTACAGCGATTATTTTTGATTCATCTGTCTCGATTCCCTTTCTGAGATATTTTGTAACCTAAATATTTTAATTCAGGGGCTGCAAATTTGCACTTTTCGACATTAACTTTTAGACCGGCCTCATTTAATAAAGAAAACACCTGTCTTAAATCCTGTACATGTTGGTCGAGATTATCACTAGTAATAATGATATCGTCTAAATAGATAAATGTGGACTTTCCAAGAACAGGTCTTAACACAATGTCCATGCATCGCTGAAATGTTGCCGGGGCCCCTGAAAGGCCAAACGGCATACGCAAAAATGCATAAGTGCCAGACTTGGTTATAAAAGCAGTCTTAGGCACGTCCTCAGGCCTAACCCCTATTTGAAAATAACCAGTCGTTAAGTCTAAAGTCGTCATAAATTTGGTTGATTTTATGTTCCTTAGAATTTCTTCTATAATCGGTAACGGATATACCGGATATTTAGTTATGGAGTTTAATTTACGGTAATCAATAGCGAATCTCCACTTTTTTGGATGCGTCAAAGGATAGTCATTATTTTTCTTACATAAAACCACCGGGCTAGCATAACTACTTGAGATGGGCGTTATGATCTTTTTACGTAGCATATCGGTAATATGCCATTCTATAATTTTTTCCTTATTCTTATCATACCGGTATGGTTTTTGCGAACTGGCATTGAATCTCCGGTGTCAATACTATGGTTAGTAACCTGAGTAAATCCTGGAATATCACTAAATAACGAAGCAAATTCACTTACCACTTGTCGGATTCTTCCTTGCTCGTCATTAGGCAGGTGGTCAAGTTTTAACATCGGCGGTTCAGCCGTTTTCTGTACGAACTGGTTTCATTGTCAGCTTAAGGGACGCTTCATTAAAATCCAGCGTTAGCTTGGGCCTCTGAAAGAAAATCTATTCCTAAAATTAAATGTGCTTGCAGATTCTTTACTATAAAAAACATCACCTTTACTTGTTCGTCCTTGATACGGATATACAAAGGTACTTTACCTACGCACTTACATTTTTCTCCTTGCGCCGCTAACACTGTCGTATTATCCGAATTATATATGCGGTATTTGCGAAAATACTTCCTAAAAAAAACTCTTCTGCCACACAGGAACACTGCGCGCGCCGGTATCCAGGAGTGCGGTGGCTGGAATATTATTCACCAACACTTCAATCTTCGGAAGAGTCAAATTTTTCACCATTACTGTATTTAACTCGAAGGAAGAGGGGTTTTCGTGGCCTTCGGATTTCCGCACCCTCTCGTCAGCAGAAATCCGTTTTAGTTTAAATTATTTTTCCTTTCCGTGCTTTCCTTCTTTTTCCACTGGCCTTGAGACTTTTTTCCTGGGTTGCTATTGAACTGTCGACGTTCGCCGGCTGTTTTTGAATGCTCGGGTTTCCTTGCCCACTGATTCGCTTTTCTCCGTAGCCGTGTGCTTGAGTTTGCTGTAGTCTTGGCGTACCAAATTGGTTTCGCTGTTGATATTGGCGTCTTCTTTCGACATGTCCGCCGTTCTTCTACTTTCAAACTGGATTGCTAGCTCAAATAACTTTTCCAGTGTAGTCGGATTTCTTAATTCAATAAAGTCTTGCACTTGGGGTAGTAACCTCGGCAAAATCACTTGAATTATTCAGGATCCGGACGGTTTCCATACAAGAGCTTGAAAACGTGAATTTTTCTTAAAATAAAGCTCGAGAGGTTTTCGATTCTTTGTTGATATATACTGAAAAGTTCCGTTTCTAATTTCGCACGATCCCTTACAACAGGGAAGGCTTTTAGTAGGGCAGTCTTGAAATTTTCGTAAGTATAGGTGGGACTTCCTGCTTGACCCAAGAGACTTCTGCCTATACATTTGAACCAGTTAAGCGCTTGGCCCCTCAAAGCGCTGGTAGCTAAGGTAACTTTTTGAAACTCGTGCACGGGGTAGAGCATGAAGTGGTCATCCAATTTTTCCAAAAAACTGGTTACCGGTGAGTTTCCATTAAATGTTGCTTCTGGTTTCATCGAAGCTCGCATGGTCTGGACGATGTAACCAAATCCTTCCAGGGCGGCAGCTGGCATTTCTGGATTCTGAGCCGTTTCTGCAGGCAGCACAGGTTCTTCTTGAAACTCGGCCATGGTTATTCTTCTTCGTTGGGCGCCACTATCTTCGGGAACATACAAGGACCTGACTCGGAACGGAGAGCTTACTAAAGCTATGTTCACTAATTGTGGTAAGTAGACAGGATACAGACGAAGGGTATACAAAACCCTTTATTTTTCTCTATATACAATAACTTCCGTACTTCGGAATACACCGACCCGCTACTCGGGGTCTAACGTAAAAGTATAAAAATAAAACTAAACTCTAATTTAACTTTAGAATAATAAAACGTGGAAGATTGGCCTTATATTAACAGGAAGGCGTATGTAGTACAGATAACTGAGAACACTACAATACGTTTAAAAGTTATCAAGAGGATTAAAACCTCTGGCCTGGAAGGCAACAAGCAACTGCGTAACTTCTAAGGTAAGCGGCCTGCTTTGACTCAACTGCTTCCTCTCTCTCGCTTGGCAAAAAGCCACAACTTAAATACTTGGCGTTCGCCAGACAACTTTGCATAAAAACCTTAACGCTTATAATTCTGGCCGGAAGTAGAAAATAAGAAGTGATAGTAAAGATTTAAAATAAAATAAACGTTAGTAAAACTTAAAGATCCTTACAAATTCATTATTAAAAACTATATTTTTATCATTTAAAAAGTCTTTTTGACATTGTGAAAAATCTCCTGATTTTTGAGTGTCATAGGTTGGCAAGTATGCAAATGTATTTTTACCCTGTGGAGTTTATTGGTAATTTATTTTACTCTTTTATGATGGCTTTTTAATTGAAGACAGATATTTTAATTTTCTGCTTGGTCCATTATTTGACTTTTTCACTGGTAATATTCTGACAGACTCTGTCTGTAACTGGTTTCATCATGGTGGTGCTATTTTGCAGAAAGGTGTTTGCATGCTTGAGTTCCTTGGACTTTGCAACATGATATTTTAATGGAATGATCTTAATTTCTTCAGTCCCATAAGCACAAAAAGAAAGACCAAAGAAATCATGATCATGCAACCATGTAATGCCACTCAAAAAAAAAAAAAAAAAAAAAAAAAAAAAAGAAAATTGCCTCATGCGACCATGTGTGTGTAATATAGCTTATAACGATAATTTTTAATAGTATATATGGTAGATAATAGGTAAGGCAAATATAAGTTTTAATAGTATATATGGTAGATAATAGATAAGGCAAGATGTGTGTCTTTTGATACTATAGAAAATACTCTAAAATTTTATCATTGAATATTTTCAATAATTTCCTTGATTTTGATCTTCTGCCAACTTACATTAAGGTAGGTAAGGTTTTTGGTACAAACATTTGATAGCTGGTTTTCAGTGAATAAAGTTTCCCTTCAATGCATTTTTACTATTTTTAGAAGATGTCTGTCTGTCCCTGTGTAGGTATAGGATAATTTTTTCGTCCATGATAAGTCGAAACTTCGAACTGTACCGTTAGGAAACAGCACTTTGTCCATATATAGCACAAATTTTGCAAGCAATCTGACATTTTTCCATTTTAAAATAAAGGGGTATAATATTATAAAAATGATTATTTGGGTTCTCCATTCTTAACACTACACTGAAGCAAAATTTATGCCACATGTTAGAATTACATAACATAAGCAGAAAGATCATGTTTAAACATGCACTTTAGTCAAGATCACTGTGTATCAGCAGTAAGTTTTTTTTTTTTTTTTTCTTTTAAATGATTGAGCACTTTATTTAAAAGCCATTACTGATGTGCCACTACAAAGGGCATTTGGAAAAGTGAGGATTAGAATTTAAATCACTGACTATAATCAGTAAGATTTTGGTGAGAATGAAAAAAATTAAAGTTTTTTTAATTATTAATAATTAGGAAGAAAAAAATTTACTAATTAAAAAAATGTAGCATTAGTTTTATTATAATGGGACATTTTTTTCATTTCTAATTTTGTCCAGTATTCCTGCACAAAAATATTTCTGAGTATGCCCATAAGCATGAAAATGTTTATCCCTGCATTATTACTCTCATGGTCTCATAATAAATCTCAATTTTATGGTGTTTCGATAGAAGGAATTTAAGTTGATAAACTTGGTCCCCAAAATTTTCTCTCTCTTTACCTGAAACTTGTGAATTAAATCTTTGTTAAACTTATAATAAATTAAGATATTTCTTTGTTAAAGTAGCTCTGTCTTAAACCCTTGGCAACATTTAAAATTTTGCACAGCGCACACTGAACAATCAAGTTTGCCGATTTTAGTGACTAAGCATGGCAGTCACTTTAGCAAGGAAGTACGTTAGTCAGATAAGGTTTGTTTTCTGAAATAATGGCTATCAGTAAATTGAAGCACCAGCAATAGGTACCTCATTTAGCTCTCTTCTTGCTAATATGCATGATATGTGATATATTGTTAATTTCTTTTGCATATTTTTTTTTTTACCTGTTATATTGAAGATTTAAAAAATCAGATAAATGTGTGTAATGCAATTGTTGTTTTGTATTTTAGGTTGCATTTTCTGTGGTATAGATTTGCTATGAATTTATATAAAATTTTCTGTGGTGCTTGATTGTTTGTGTATTTTTTTATTTTGAATTTATATCAGAATATAGTATATGTGCTTTAAAAGATATATTTTCCCAAGTTTATTCTCTCCTTCCCCTTTTTAAAATTTTTATTTATGTCAGACTTTTTAGATTTTTTTATTTGTGTCTTTGCAGCTGAAAATGACACCTTTGCATTGGGCAACGGAACGGGGCCATTATCATATTGTTAAAACATTGCTCAAAAACTTTGCTGATGTTCATGCAGTGAGTAAATTTGATAAAACTCCTTTAGATATAGCAGAAGATAATCAGTACCCAGATTTAATAGAATTACTAAAAGTAAGTATTAAATTTATCTATATTTTTAATAGTGATAAAAGGGTTCATAGATTCAAATATTTTTTTTAATTGTTCATACTTAACCAAAAATTTAATATATTGGAGACAAAAATGTGAAATAAAATTAATGAATAAATACTTAGTACTTTTGCATTTTAAACTGCTATGTCTAATAATAATAAAATGCTTAAAACGTTACCTTTTTTGGTTGAACTTTTTATTGTCTAAAGGAGTTATTGTGTTCACTTGTATCTGCTATCATGGTATAAGTGGTAGTATCTGGTTGTAACGAAAGTTTACCCCCAAAAATATTCTTAATGAAATTAGGAAGGGAAAAAAAAAAAAAACGTGAAAGCAGTTAAAAACATAAAACTTTAGTGCAAGCATAATAACCACCCAAATCTATGATTTTCTGCCACCGTATTGTTAGTTCTTTAAAGCCTTAGGCCTAGAAACTTGGTGGTCACAAGTCTGAAAACAGATGAACCTCATTGCGGACGCCCTGTGCAGAGTAGAAGATAGCACCAGCAAGATGTAGCTGCAGGTGTGAAAAAGATAGAAGTCGGAAGGAGCAATGTCAGGGCTATATGATGGGTGTGACAAAAGGTCTGTATAAAGTGCAGAAGATGAATGCAGACACATATGATTTTGCAATATCTTGATGGAACTTTACCTTTTTACACTGGAACTCAGTTCGACGTTTTTTTACGTGATAACACTGTCAACACGGTCTAGCATCTTACTGTTGAGGATTTTACCTTTTTCTAGATACTGTTTGTGGGTAATCCCACCAGATACAAAGCATGATCTTTTTGTTAGTCAAATTGCATTTTGTGATGCTGCTAACTGGCTCACTGAATGCAGACCAAACCCCTTTTCGGCCTGTGTTATTGAAGTAGATCCACTTTTCATCACAAGTGTCAATCCGGTTCAGAATTTTGTCCTTTTGTTGATATTCGAGCAGGTTAATGCAGGCCCGAACACGTCGATCCTAATCTGCTTGAGTCAGCTCGTGCATAGACAAATAGACATGACACTAACATTTAACTTAACTTAAATAATAAACCACAACTTAAATGGTTGCATACTGATTATCTTACTGATACTGATCTTCTTTCACTTAATGATAACGATATGCTTTCTTTCAAATGCCAAAAGTCATTTGGCAAAATATGATTAAACAGGGCAACACAGACTGTTGGCACAGATGATGTTTGCAGTGATAGGAAACTTTCGTTAAAACTCAATGCATGCACTTGCAATGGAAGATCTGTTGTTTGAATCCTACAAGGAAATGGTTGATTTCTTACATTTCTTGCTTTGTAAAAATTGGTAGTCTCTAGCACCCACATTAAAATGTAGTGTATGATAATTTGTCATTAGCTGGTGTTCATCAACTCAATTTTGTGCCTCTCTCTAATTGTATAGTAAACAAGGGAGGATATAAGGAATTCTTGCATTCCATTATGCTTGCTGTCATGATGTAAAAAGTTGCACATCCAATAAAGCAGCAGATCTATGATTTGAATCCTGGTGAAACAGGGTTAATTTTTCATGTTTCTTGGCTTTGAGAAACCTCGTACAAAGATTTTTGCTGTTTTAGTTTTAATTTACATTTTGTTTCAAGATTGATTTCCATATTTACAATTTTATGTTTGATTTGTGATTTATTTATGTTAGGTAGCTTGCCACTTTTGGTAGAATTATATTCTGTCTTATTTACTTTCCTGCATTCTGCATGATATTAATAGCTCTAAAATAAACACTTTTCAACTATTGATCTCTATCTCTCTCTCTATATATATATTATTTAAAATGATAAATAACTTTCTATTTTTCTTATGCATACAAATACTTGTGTCATGCTGTCTTTTGTATGCACTAATTATTTTCTAAATGAAGATTTTATAATAATTGCTTCACAGTGCATAATAATGTGCTTAATGTACTGAGATTATTTGTTTTCATTATGAACTGTATTTATATTGATAAAAAGGAATTCATAAAAGAAAATAAAAAAGGAAGTATTGTAATACATCATGTCTGTTGATGATACGTTCCAATTTTTACAGCATATGTATGAAATCCTATTGAAGAAAGTTGTTCCTAATGCAATATTTGTTAGTATATAAACTGCAATTAAATTTATTTGATAGATTATGCAGCGTAAAAAATTGCCAATATTAAATGCAGTAATATTCAAGTTTACACTAATGCTGTATTGTGCACTAAAAATGTGCTTCCTTTCTCTCTCTTGTATCTATGAATATATAAGGATTTAACAGTTTAGCCAGACCAACAAAAGCCAAACACAGGTAAAAATTTCTGAATTTGTACTTTATAATGATATACAAAAAGGCTATACTTGCACTGTATAGCTTTGATAGATGGCAAAAAAATAAATAAAATGGAAAACTAGCTCTCATATTGGTAAAACTTCAGCCTGGATCTTGTTCATGGTTGTGATTAGTGTAGAAAGATAGTACTGGTCGTATTTACATTCTTTGTATTTTGCCATGTTACAATGTTACATGCTGCTCTTGCTTGACCCACTTTAATTTATGAAATATTTTCTTTAACTAGTAAAAAAAAAAAAAGCTGGTTGCTGTAGACTTTGGATAACTTAAAGTATAGTTACTGAATCAACAGCTACAAAGCAGCAATTATATTCTTGTTTATGTATTTATATGTTCAGTGCTATGATTTAAGATACTGTTATATGCATACGGGACCATAATGGATTGAATGCACACAGATGAAATTTATTTTTCCAAAAACATTGTGTAGCTCTGGACCTCTTCACACAAAAGTTACTTATACAGCTGTTCTTGATATGATAGTACTATCAGTAGTTATCACTTGAAACTACTAAAAACATTGAACACAAGTATAAAATCACACAAAAGAATTCACAGATGCCTATGCTAGCACTGTGATCTCTCATTATACTGAGCAAAGCTCTGAACAAAACTAAGCTGATACTCTTTTCGGTCTTATATAGTTTTCCTCTGGTCCGCCAAGAAATTTTCAGTATCTTTGATTTCTCGAAATTGTTGGAAAGCGTACACAGCTACAGTAACATAGGGATAAAACTAGTTATAAATATGGGACCAGATGGTACCAAGTTTGATGACTTTTGACGATTTATCGCCAAATTTCACAGGAAGAATTTGTTGCCAAAACCATCATTTGCTTGCTGCTAATTTGCCAATTTGACAAGATAGTCATTTACCTCAATGTTAAATAGACTTTCCTCTGTTTTTCTAGTGGCACTTCACATTTCTAAGGCCTTTAATGTTAAATTTTATTTACATATAATTTCTCTAAATTTATATACATAAATACAAAATTCATAGCATTGCCCCCCCCTTTAAAAGAACAGCATGTCCCAGGCTTCCTGGAGGAGACACTGTAATACAACTAAGGAAAATTAATAATCATTTAAATAAATAACATACACTAAACGAATACCAAATAAATAAATAAATGCATGAATTTACAAATTTGTATACAAATAGGGCCATAATCTTAGTATACTATTTACATACATTATAAGGACTATATGGTGTAGCCATATTAATAGACTAGCATATCATAATGAATGAATTTTAGCTTAGACATTCATGACTTACAGGTCCAAATTAGACACTGGATCATCTCAAGGTGACTACGGTGCAGGAGAAAGTTCTTTCCATCGAATCGGATCCCATAACAACAGCTTCTCAGCTTCGTTGAATTGATCTTGTGTCGCATCAGCTCTTTATCTTTTCCATTGCCAAGTTGACTCTCTTGTAGAAAACTGTGCTTCACTCCAAACCATGCCTCGAAATTCTGAATGTACCCAAGCAAAGAAGGCACATTTGGAGAGCAACCAAACAACAGATCACAAGCAGACAAAGGTTATGCAAAGATCATCTGAATCGGGAATAGCCAGTAGCCTCTTGAACAGCACTGTATAAACCAGTAAGAACAGAGGTAACTTGTGGTGCAGTCCTGTTGGTTTCTGGAAACCACTGGCAAGATGTTGTAGAGGATAGTTCTTAAACCTTTATTCCATACTGTCTGACTGTGGATGTAAAGGTGTCATTTGTGTTCTGTCTATGCCAATTAGTTTATAGAGGTTCTTTAATTGCAGCCAAGACTAAATTCCTTCCTTTATTGGAATGTAATTAAAGAAGCACTGCAAATCTGGAAATCCAGTTATGGTTTCATGTCATTGTCTTTCCACTGTTCTTTGTCACTCTATGCGGCTGGGTCACACGGTGCTGAAATTGTAACTTGTTGTATGACCAAAAATAAGCTGCTCATATTTTGCTTTGAAAATTGAGCAATATCAGCAGTTTTCTGGGCAGGATCTTCTGGACAGGGTGTCTATTTTTGTGGGACGACCATTTCTGATGACGGATAGTAATATATCCCTGGAGTCTCTGTACCTATCTGGCTATTTGGCTATCAGGATTTTTGAAATTTAAGAATCAAGCTAACGATGCATGATTTGTGCAGAGTAAGAATTTTCTGCCATAGAGGTAATGGTGGAAATATTCTATGGCTTTAACTATTGTGAGCAACTCTATCTTGGTGACACAATAATTCGTCTCCAATTTTAAGTTTGTAAAATTAAGGTGACTAGGTTTCAAAGTTTGAAATTCAGGACACTCTCTCTCTTTCTACACACACATATATATTTAATTTTTTAATACATTTTTTACAAATAAATTATTTAATTATTATTGTTATTTTGGTGGAAGTGGTATATAGGTCAATATTTATGCACGTCTGGTCATTAAAATTACAACACCAGGAAGGAATGATCTGATGAACGTCAAAAATCACATAAAAGGAAGAAGAGGTTAGGATATGCAAATGATTAGTATTTCAGCACATTTAGACAATGCAGGAGGGAGAAATGACATCTTAAGATCTGCATAAAAGAAAATTGTGTAATGGATTTCTCATTCAGAAAGCACATTGTAAGGTCGGAGTTTGCTCAGAATATCATG